TCAATTAAGTGTATAAATAATGGACTGACAATTAGGATGAAAAACCTCAATCAGCATTTGACTCAATGATAAATTGTATTTGCTGACAAGGTCATTGTATCGACCACAGAACTTATGAAATGATGTCTTTAAACGAACCCGTTGAAATTCTTGTTTCATCAACTTGTTTGTCAAAAGTTTACCTCGTTTTAGAAATTGTTCATACGTAGATCATGCTCATGCGTATCGAATCAACTGAGATCTATAAACTCCGTATGCAGGAAATGAAGGTACGAGGGGTGATCAAAAAGTTCGCGAACTAATTGAATAACTTCCATAAAAGAAACAATATTTGGTTCCAGTGCTGATTATTTTTTAAATTAGTCCTATCCGATTTTAATGCACATCAACCACCGTTCTGCTCATGCGCGAATCACTTGATATAGGCGGTTACGTGACCCCCTCCGTAGCGGTCTGTCACAAAAGCTGAAAGATTTTTCAGAGTTTTATATTAATTTCCATGTAAGTTAATTTTTATAACAAGAACATTTCATTTGTCAGAAATGGTCAAATCCCGGCAACAGAATGGATGGATAAGAATAATTTATCCTTTCCAAAAATAAGCATGGCGACCATTAAAACCCAAATCTTCTGTCTCGGGAGAGACATTTATTCAAGGTGGATAGAGAATTGGTACCTTCTTTTATCATATCTAATATGTTTAAAATCTAAAATAAACGATATCTTAGATATTTAATAATTATATTATTGTTCAAATATTCAACTATTTTTCAAGGTGTAAATTGGAGGTCTTTGATAGCAAATTGCTTAATTAAAAACATATCTCTTTTCAAAGTTGCTTTCACTGAGCAACATAACCAGTGTCATTTTAACCATCTGTCTTCCTTGACTAAAACGACGAATCCAATCATTGATTGAATTTATGAGAAGTCATTTGTCTTAATAAACTGAGTAAAAATTATTATATGCTTCTGCAAAGGGATTTCTAAGATATACAATAAATTGTACAGTCGTTTGTTGAACGAGTACGACCGAGACAACCATTTTTCGTCACTAGTGATCTACTTATTGACGTCATTTTCTCATTGTGACGTCACAAACAAGGAACAAAACTTTATTCAGCATATGCTATTTATAGAACTTGTGTATGGCTATGTGTACACCAAATCTTTTTCTAATCTTAATTGTGGTTTTGTAGATATAGAGGTAGTTCGCGAACTTTTTGATCAATCCTCGTATATTGTTGCATAAGTAGGGAAGTAGACGATAGAAAAGTTAAAGTCATCACGTTTGTCATAGAGCTTGGTTGTTAGATTCCATTGAATGTCTTTTTCAAGTGAAACATCCACGTATGAAACAGATGTGTCAGACTCTGTGCTATCTTTTATCTCAAGCACACCAGGATATACTGCATCGACATAAGAATGGAAAAAAATTACCATTGTTAATTGACAGTACGTGGTCTATATACTTATATAGTATCTAAATGTCGAGATGAAGGCCACACCAAGTGTTTTCTTCTTTTCATGCCTAAAATTTTGCATAAATTCTGCTTCATATGAATACAAAAATAGGTCTGCTAATAACGGGGGCGCAATTGGTACACATGGGAATTCCAATTGATTGTTGGAAGACCTGGTCTCCAAACACAAGATAGATATTGTCAATTAGAAACTCAAGCATCTTTTTGATGACGACTTCAGAGTACTTGTGTGTACAATCAGAATTTTTTTTAACAAAATAATTTTGCAAATGACCAATGACAAGGTAAGTAAATTTTCGAGTTGATTTGCTTCATTCTAATGGGCAATAAACATTTATAAATCAATAAAGGACACCTGACTTTCACAAACCATTAATTACTGATGTATTAATGTGGCCTAAATTTGGAAATTGAACATTATAGTCTTTTTCAACATTTACACGTCACTTAGTTCTAATTACACAGTGGATATAAACTTGGTTGTGTATTCATAATTAATCTATAAAGCATGCTCTTGCAAATTAACTATAATTGTCAATCGGCACTGGTTTAAGTTTAAACATCAACAACTTTATTCTCTTTTCTGAATCAACTTTAAAAAAATCGATGCCTTCTCTATGTAAATTTTATTCTTTGTAATTGTAAACAAATAAATTACCATTTATGTCGACTTACACAATTAAAACTATTTTAAATTTATACTTTATTTGAATAAAACACTCTAATTAAATAAAACTCTTCTATTTACAAATATGGATTGAAATGAGGGCTTCTTTGTTATGTTTGGAAGTGGTTTAACAAATACCTGTATGTTAGCACTGTACCCTAATTTCCATACTTCGTAACTTTAAAGAATTACGTTCTTATAGTTACAATGCGCTGATCAATCGTTTTACTTCCTTGGAATGTCCGTGGGTAAGCAAATTTTTTTGAATCGTGGGGAGGTACTTTCATGTGTTATTATGTACATGTTTAAGATTCAATGAATAAATATGTCAGCAAAATAATTTTTCGAGTAGATGTTAATACACTTGGCTCAGGGTTACCCACGATATCCTAGAACATTGGCCCGTAATCTTTGGTTATTCAAGATTATAAGAAATACTAAACAGTAGTTTTTATTTTTGAAAATTAATGCAAAAGATATCGCAGAATATAATATTGAAGAAAGAATTCTCTTTTTCAACCGACCCCAAAATTGTCCCCAGTCTATAATTCACTTTAGAATTCATTTAGAATCATTTAGAATATTTAGACACAAAATATGTATTGACTATTAAATATTTGTGAGTTTTGGAAGGAAAAGTTGATATTTTTTACCGTATGTCCTCATCCATCAGTGCATATAATGGCTTGTTAAATACAAGAACCTTTTAATTCATTATCAAACCATTTCCCTTTCTCGATAAAAAAAGAAAATGGGATACGTTTGAGAAAAGTGAGTCTGATGAATTCCTGAGAAAAAATTTACATTTTCCTATAATCAGGAAACTACCTAATCCCAATCCTCATTAAAGCGATACAAAACTCATCGAAGTCTTCTTTTGTCATTCCTAATGAGCATTAATTAATCCCTTAGACAATTCAACTCCGGACTTGCATAAACGGAGAGATTTAAATGACAGATGACATTTACGTTTGCAGAGACGCTGAGAATTAATTCAGTGCTAATCTTATAAGTTGCGCTGAAACTTCTCAATTTTATTATTTTGTTGAATATTTCTTAAAGAGAAATATGAAGATAATAAGCAGTAATCATGCTCAAGAGACCAGTTAAAAAGAAACTGTGAACAAAGCATTGCTGAAAACATCAGAGGGGAATCAGGTGTCACTGAAGAATAAGCTTCCTTTGTGGACGGATCACCATCTCCAAGCGCCAAAAATCCTAACTCCCCTAAACAAATTCTACATGAAAGAAAAAAAAAAACAAAACTCTTCGACTCTTCGACTGTACTATTATAATGTTAATTCTTATCATATGTTGACTCTATATCCAAGTAAATTTGACATAATGCACACCGGCGCCTGCCACATCTTTTGCATATTTGGATTTTTAATGGCTATAATCGACAGCAAGATTTCATGACAAACGAGATAACTTCAACATCGTATATCTTCAACTGTCCTTATCTATATTATGGTAATTTCCATTCTTATGGCGATACGATATATCCCGGTGATCTTGAGATAAAAGATACCACAAAGTCTGACACATCTGTTTCATATTTGGATATCTTACTTGAAAAATACGTTAATGGTAATCTAACAACCAAGCTCTATAATAAACGTGATAACTTTAACTTTTCAATTGTCAACTTCCCTTACCTATGACAGCAATGTACCCTCATCACCTGCGTAAGGAGTTTATATTCTCAGTTGATTCGATACGCAAAAGCATGCTCTACGTATATACTAATCCTAAAACGAGGTAAATTATAAGGTAAATTAGGAAGTCATCATTTCCTAAGTTCTATGGTCGATACAATGACCTTGTCAGCAAATACAATTTATCATTGAATCAAATACTTACTGACGTTTTTCATACTAATTAATTGTTAGTCCGTTATCTACACACTGAAGTGACGACGGATTTTCCGTTATTTCCTGATCATAACAAGGAGCGTACGGCGGATGTAACCGGTCGGCAGGGGATGCTCACTCCTCCATGGTGCCTGATCCCACCTCTGATGTTTTGGAGGTCCGTGTTTGCTCTGCTCCTCATTTGTATTTTTCATGGACTTTTCAGCTTAAATACAGTTCGATATCTCTATGTTGTAAGATTCAGCTTTCATATGCATATTCTGTTTATGTCATCCACATTTTTTCATACTCAAGAACTACGCTCGTTCGGATTTCAAAATTTGGAAAAGAGTCAGAGTTCATTTTCGAACCAAGTAACAAACTGGCATTATTAACACGCATTATTTTAGAGATTTTTATCACCTATCTCTTTTACAATCCTGGATTATTCCCTGAAGAAATTATATGAAGAAGAAATGTCTATTTTAATTGTCTTAAATAAAAACGTAGTAAAAAGTCTGCTCAATAAAGTACAAAATTGAGTGAAGATTGCCTGGTAATGGGAACAATCTCTGGAGATATCTTTAAATAAGATTTACGAATGGAATCAAATAATTCATACAAATTATATCAAATAAGGTTTTATGAGGTCGTCAACAAATATTATTCCAGGCTCAATATAGTTTTACTAAAGTTCCATGAATTTTTTTCCAATTTACATATGTACTGAGGAATTCTTTTAATTCAATTTGTAACATGCTGAAAGCCCTAGTGAAAAATTGGCACAACATTCTCATTTGTTAAGACATCTCAAAATTCAGTTCATATTATCTGCAAAAAATAGCCTAGCAATATCCAATTAGATTTTGAAGCATTCTATAACGGACGAGGTTCTAGTGTTTACGATTATTAAACCCGTGTCTTGCTGGTTTCTAATCAGAAACCTAAGATAAACATGGGGAGTCGCATCATAAAACATGAGATCCGCTCAGATTAGGAGGAATCAAGAAACACAACATCATCAAAAGCATGACGTATTTGTATTGCACCAATACAGAAATACATAGATATATGTTCAATCTGAAAGTATAAATTCAAGGCTATAAGCATCAATAATTCATTTGAGAGTTTCACTGCGAGGTAAGCAATATACATACTTAAACGTATAAGTTTCATTTCTTTGTACAGTTGCATGGTTTTTAAAGAATATACTATTGATAAAGAAGATGTATGGAATTAATATTGTGTTCTAACACATTCTGAAAAAAAATCACCTTTCTTATTTTTTTAATTATTGATTCCCCTTGTCAAAGCTTTGTAGGAGGAGAAATTGAATTATGAAGCCACGCTCAAGATGACTGCCTCAGCATTTAAAGACGAAGCTTTATTGTTTTTCATTCTAATTTCAGATTGTATTCTTTGATGTACATTCCAGGCTTATTGGTAGAGGAACAGGAAATTGTTCTAATAGACACCCTCATTCTTTACCACGTGTTCAAAGTATCAAGATTGAAATGGATTTCACCTATATAAAATAGAATGAGTTGTTCATGGAATACTGCAAATGTAACAGTTGCTCAAACGCACGTTTGCTATCATTGATATACATGTTTCCCGCCAATTTATCGATACATTCACAAGCGCTCTCAATACATTTACGAGCTCTCACAAATACAAAGTGTTTTCACGCTACCAACAAAAGACTCAGATATCACAATGACCCTGGCCGGGGTGACAGTCTTTCCCTGGGCGGAACACGTGGTTGCTGCTAGGAATTCTGGGACGGGTGTCGGGCAGACGATTTTGTCCAGTGCAGGGATTGACATGGAGCAGGTGCTTTATCTCTCCCCGGAGACGGAAGAGCTGAAACACATTCTGGACACACATCGGTAAGTAGTCTTGAAGTTCTTCTCTCCCCTTGTTTAGGGTTTACTAACCCCTTCAGATCACATTAAACTATACAGTCACTGACTCTTTTTAAAAGTTGATTGCCAAAGCATTACTTTTTTATCAGACTTGACCATAATTAACATTAGCTCTTTAGTTAATTTACATTTTTGCGATTGAGATAATTCATTTCTTGATTGAAAGGTAACCATATTAAGTTTAATCGAATGTTGTTTCTAAGGACCATCATGATGCAGCGAAAATCTGATGAACTTTCTTCATGCTAATATACATGTGCTACTAGAACATAAAATGTACTTAATATATATTTGTCAGAATTGATTTTTCATGTCTTATATGACTGTAATTAACTTTATTACAAATTTTGTGAAGCTATATGTTACTATGGTAACACTCTGGCGTGTATTTCTTTCTAGAATATTTTTGTTATAACCTCCTTACGACGGTAAGTTAGTGTTCTTATCGTTTTTAGCTCACCTGAGCCGAAGGCTCAAGTGATCTTTTCTGATCACATTTTGTCTGTAGACCGTCTGTCTAGCTGTCCGTCCGTCCGTCTGTCTGTAAACTCTTAACATTTTCGACTTCTTCTCAAGAATCGCTGGGCCAATTTCAACCAAACTTGCCACGAGGCATCCTTGAGTAATGGGATTCAAGTTTGTTCAAATGAAGGGCCACGCCCTCATTCAAGGGGAGATAATTGGGAATTAATAAAAATTTGGTGGCATGTTTTAAAAATCTTCTTCTCATGAACCACTGTGCCAGGAAAGATGAAACTTATGGGGAAACATCCTCAGGTAGTGTAGATTTAAGTTTGTTCAAATCATGACCCCCAGGGGTAGGGCGGGGCCACAATGGCCGATCAAAGTTTTACATAGAAATATATAGGAAAATTCTTTAAACATCTTCTCAAGAATAGTAAAGCCATAATTGAAAATATCTATACGGAATCATCCTCAGGTAGTGTAGATTCAAGTTTGTTCAAATCATGACCCCTGGGTTAGGGCGGGGCCACAATGGCCGATCAAAATTTTACATAGAAATATATACGAAAATTCTTTAAAAATCTTCTTCTCAAGAATAGCAAAGCCATAATTGATCATATTTGTATGGAAGCATCCTCAGGTAGTGTAGATTCAAGTTTGTTCAAATCATGACCTCCGGGTTAGGGCAGGGCTACAATGGACGACCAAAGTTTTACATAGAAATATATAGGAAAATTTTTTTAAAAATCTTCTTCTCAAGAATAGAAAAGCTATAAATAATCATATATATATGGTAGCATCCCCAGATAGTGTAGATTCAAGTTTGTTGAAATCATGACCCCCGGGGGTAGTGCGGGGCCACAATGGCCGATCAAAGTTTTACATAGACATATATAGGAAAATTCTTTAAAAATCATCTTCTCAAGAATAGCAAAGTCATGATTGGTCATGGGACTACTTTTGGATTTAAACTTTTTAATAATAAACCAATTTCTACTTTTTCCTAGCCACAGTGCTCAGGTGAGCGATGTGGCCCATGGGCCTCTTGTTTTACTCCCGGCGAATTATTATGTCGTGTGACACTTATTAGTAGAAAATATGGAGAGTTTTAAAAAGCTATTTAGTTTATTCTGTAATGTGTCAAATGTCTCTATGGCAACCAACTATTTAGAGAATTATTCCAATATTTTCCTTAAAGCATAAGAGGCAGCAGGTTGCAATGTTTGTTTGTAAGGTGTCAATTTGTTTTCAATTCCTTTTTAAGAAAAGTTCTACAAATTGTTTTCAAAAAATCACAAAAATATCATGTTTCTACAAATAAGATGAAGTTATATCTATTAATCACATCAAGGATCGTGTAAAAATTTCTAGTTTTCTCATTATGTCTCAAAAAATTATACCAAGCAATTACTAAAAAGATTTTCATTTTATCATTCTTTGCTAAAAGACCGACATTATTTGCATTTTCATTGTCTTGTTCTAAAAAAGGAGATAAAAGTATATATCTTGCATTGTATTCAGTAACCCTATCTCATTATCAGATGACTGAACAGAAAAAAATATTGATCATATATAAATGCAAACTTATTTACATATGTAAAGACACTAATTTAATCTTCAATTTAATCAAATACACATCATGCAAATATCATTCCCTATAAAGATTTCCAATTATTGCTTCATCAAGAACCAGATAACTATTTTCCCGGCTGTAGGCTACATTTGTCCAGAACACATCTCCACGCTTGGACTCCTGGAATGACCTTGGTGTATATAGAATCAATCTACTCTGGGAAATCAAGTTTTTATGCTTCGTAAAAGGAAAATTGGAGGCCCTGTCTGCTGATTAATCATCAGGGGACTTTACTTATTGTGTTGAGTTGTTCAGTCTCAGTCAAGCTCCACCCTACAGCTCCCCAAAGAAACGATAACTCCATTTGACGAATGAGAGATTCAGTAAATTAAATTATACAAGTCCCTTTGGGAAAGTTTTGTTTTATTTTGCTGTGTATTCACTATTGTTTCAGAAACTACAAATAGATGTAGACAAAAGCACATCTCTGCCTATCTGTCTAGTCAATAGCTTGTAATCAGGCAATCTGCTACAAGGATATATGTAATCTGCTCATTCTAAGATTGATTGATTGATTGTATGTTGTTTAACGTCCCACTAGAAATTTTTTCACTCATATGGAGACGCCTTTCATTCTATATAAGTTAATTATAGATAAGTTACTGTATAAATGATGTATGTAGATATCTCTTTTATTTTTTCTGCCATGTGTTCAATTATACAAAATTCCATGTACTCTTCAAATATCATTGCTCCTACACAGTGCTATCATATGGTGGTATTTTGATAGAAATTTTCATACCAATATTATATTTTTTTGTTAAAATTGACTACATGTACATGTTAATCCGTCTACCTGAAGAATAGATGAGGTTTTTGGCGGGTGTGACTGGTCGGCATGGGAAGTTTACTACTCCTAGGCACTTGATCCAGTCTGTTTTCATGTTTTCAGAGCCTTGTGTTATGCCCTATTCACAGATGTCAATAAATTGTAGTTTTTTTGTGCTGGATCACTGTTTATTATTTTCAATTATAATTGTATGCAATAAACACAAAAAGAATCAAATAAAAATTGCATGAATGAAATATGTAGATAACGAACAGTATTCAAACTCAAGGGTCTAATTAAACAATACCAGAATTTAATAATTATTTGAAATTGTTGTATCCTGATACTTGATGAAACATAGATCACCATTCAACTTCCCTGCGTGGAGAGAAAGTGTTTCATCTTGCAGAGAAAAGAAGTATTATAACAGTGAAAATTTGTTTAGACAGCAAATAATAATAATGATGATAATTGTGATTGCACTTAAATCATTGACTGAAACAAAACAGATATATAAATACATAACATTCATCATTCATTTCTTCTCCCCAGAACGGGATACATACTGCGTGTTCAGACGATTGAGGACTTGAATGACTTGGCCGTGTTAATATATGGGAAACCTCTGCTGATGAGAATCAACCTTGTCCACACTGAAGTCTCCAGCAAGTACAGTGCCGACAAAATCTCAATCTGGGAAGGTTGTACATTATCGTTTTCAAATAATGCACGCATTAATCATTACCTTTTTCGCTATCTTGTCATTCAAAATGATACAGTGGACCCGTTCTAACAATGTAATAATCGATTCGTAGTAGGAGTGTAGCGTTTTAATAATACTCTTTACATGTTAATGGATTTGTTTCTTTTCCTTTATTTTTCAGGTGATTTCGCTTGTGTGTTAAACACAGGTCATCGACAAGTGCGATCTCAACTCGAATGGGCACTAAAACAAGCTGAGAGTCACCTAAATAAAGGAAATAGATTTTGTATAGAGGTAATGAACCAGGCTCTAATGTAATCAAAGAAGTCTCAGACCATTTGATTGGGTTAAGATAAAAATTCTGAAACTGCAATCAAGGAATTTCACCATTTAGCAAGGTAAAGAATGGAAGACTGACTAAGGCGATGACCTTTGTGAATAAAAACGAGTTTTCCAATCTTTTATTCATTTTACTCACTGAATTGATTACGTATTTTTCTGTGTGCCTTACAAAGTCTAGAGGCACACGTCATGTATGACCGGTTGACAGGGGAGGCTTTCCCCTACATGGAACCTGATCCCACTTCTAATGTTATTCCTACGTGGTAACTGATCCTACTTTTAATTTCTTTAAAGGTTCGCGTTTGCTTCTGCTTATTTGTCTTGTTAAAATGGCATTTTGGGCAAAAATATACTTTTTTATTTCCATATTTTATTGACAAAACTAATAGAATATTCTTTCCTTCAATAGTACAAAAAGTAAAAGTCCTAGTCCTTTGAAAGGTGGGCGTCTATTTAGCATTGTACTTTTATTCTTTTATAGGGAAGGTTACGTTCTTGAAGCAGAATAATACAACAATTGTTTGTCTGATATTTAATACGTTTTTATTCTTCAAAATATTGAATATTAATTTAACAAACGATCTAGTATTAATTAAGACCTTCTACTTGTCTTTGACATCAGATAGAGCTAGGGGACGTCGTAGAGGGCTGGTATCTGCAGAGCCTCGATTTGTTTTCCGGATGTGACGACTTCCACTCAACAAAGACGAGGAACTCCAGACTGATCCTGACCAATCATACGCCTTATAACCACTGCTTTGACTGTCGACCAAAATGGTGGCTCTGCTTCGGTCCCTGCTGGCTCGTAACAGCCCCCGCGTATTACGTAAGTGTATAGACTGAAAATAATAAGATAGGCTCGTCACAGTCCCCGCGTATTATGTATAAGTGTGTATATTAGAATTAACAGGGTAGGCTCTTCACAGCCCAACGTAAGTGTATACACTGAAATTAACAGGGTAGGCTCGTCACAGCCCGCGTGTATTACGTAAGTGTATACACCGAAATTAACAGGGTAGGCTCGTCACAGCCCGCGTGTATTACGTAAGTGTATACACAGAAATTAACAGGGTAGGCTCGTCACAGCCCGCGTGTATTACGTAAGTGTATACACTGAAATGAACAGGGTAGGCTTTATACAGTCCCCGTGTATTGCATAAGTGTATACACTGAAATTAACAGGATAGCCTCTTAAGATTTTCTTTTGTGGTTTTCCATGTCCCTCGTGTATTATGTAGATATAATTACAGGGCTCGGTGATGACTCTGTTGTGAATATACACAAAAAGTTACAGATAAATATTCTTTGAATCATAGTTTCGATGGTGTGCTTTTGAAGCTATTGAACTGTTTGTAAAGTTCATCGTTGTTTTTTTTTCAATAATAAGAAGCATTGCGCATTTGGCTATAATCCGTTAAACCATATAAGCATATAACTTATAAAACCATAACCAAATAATTTTACTTGTGTTCATTCTTGCTCTTTACAAACTTTTGGCTATTAACTAAGACTATTTTTTCTGCTAAATAGGGAAATATATCATTTAAGCTTCAATTATATCTTATATATTGTATCATTCGAATAATGTGTCGCAATATCTTTAATTGATTTACAATGAACAGCAAATATTTCGAAAACAAATTCTATCCAACGTGATGTTATTAATGGTCCTCTAAACTTCACGAGCAATACCAAGCAGAATCTAAAGGTTATTACTTGACATCTAAACAGGAATTTAAAGTCTGAATGTTTCCTGACTTCTCGAAGTACCGTCGTATGTATAGATCCTAAAATACCGGGAAATCAATGGAAAATGTTTGATTAAACTTGCTTTATGATTCCCTTGGTTTGAAAACGGTAGAAAGCGAACTATATGTTATATACTTGGAGGGTAATATTAAAGGCTTATTTGATACTTGGGGATTTATGCACATGGTTGATAACACATCGGAGCGTAATATCACTACATTTAGATGATTAAATTCTAACCCATGGAAACTTTGATTACTGTTTGCTATCATATCATTTTTGTTTAATGTTTTATGTTGTTTTTTATTATAACATTAGATGTTTTCGAAAGCTTTAACTAAAAAAAAAACGATAAGCGAATTCCATCCTAGTTCAAGATAAATAAAATCGAGAGAAGGTCTAATTGATTGATAAAAATTATTAAAAAACGATAATTTTAAAAGTATATGTTGGCTGTATAAAGTATAAATTCAAGTTAGACACACGCATACCAAAAAACCTTATAATACATGTACAGTGAAAACTGTAAAAAAAGGGATCTGTCAATAGAAAATGATAAGCAACTATATATATTAAATATGCGTATATATCCATTACACTTTATGGAAGTAATTATATTATGTATGTCGTAATTTATAAACAGAAAGAACATTCTAAAATTTCTTTTCCATTTCTATTCCGACACAAAATTCGTATCCCAGTGCATGTTGAAAAAAGAGTTAGATGCATACCAAAAAAAAAACCTTTTAATGTTCATGTATATATGTTTCAACAAATTGTTCAAAAGGAAATTATTTAACACGTTGAAAACAACAAATTTTCATTTGTAATCAGATAGTGTGATTAATAAAAGTTCTGTAGGACAAAGAATAGAATGGGAGAATTGCCTTATTTTTTATCATTTCCCTAGAAAACAAAATCCTTTTAGATCTATCCTGTGACTCAACTCCGTGGAACTCAATGTCTTTCCAATAGTTTCAGTCGTTTGATAATTCTCGTCATTGTGACGTTTAAATTAATTATAGCACATTTCTGGGTAGCTATTAAGAAAAGGTTTTATTTCCTTCTTTTCATCAATTCTAGATTTGTTTTCTTTGATATGTTCTGATGCAAATGACAATTTACAGAAAACTTTTCAAAGCCATGCTATGAAGGAAAGAATAAAACATTTTTAGAAACATTCTACTCCTACAGTTTGTAAAGAGCGTTAGTATATTTACCATGTGTACAAAATTTAGTCTCAAAAAGGGCTTGTCATGTCATCTTATTCTTTTGATTGAAAAAGGTGACGGGACCGAACAGGGATCGATCTCATTGAAACTAAAAACAATACGATTCTGATTGATTGATTGTATATTGTTAAAAATCCCATTCGAGAATCGATACGATTCTGTGAACAGGAAATAAACAAGAACTTCTGGAAATTCCAGAGATGAGATCAGGTGCCTAGGAAAATGAAGCATTCCTTGCTGACCTGTCACTCTTGCGCCTTTTGGTCAGGTAGAACATCCTGTAGTCTAACAAATGGTTGGGAACAAATCAGCCTAAATACGACCCAGTAGGCTATACTTGCTAAAAAAAGTCATTAGAAAGACCATAGAATTTGATAAAACATCTGCGATTTATCTTAATGTCTAGTTGAAGGCCACTGCAAGTGCTTTATTGAAGTATATCGACTGAGTGGGAATTGAAAAAGTCTCGAGAAGCGTTTGATAAAATATTTAACCGTTTGACATGAATTATTGAATCTTATATTATTGAAAAGAGCAGGGAATTTTGTACTTATATCGACTCGTTTTATTTTTATGGAGTAATAACTCCGAAAATAACATCTATTATGAAGCTCTTCAATACGTATGTCAGTTTTGAGTATTTTAATATTCCAACAATCTGAATGACTTTGAATTACTTTGTCTATATTGGATTCTAAATCTTCGCAAAAATCCTTACAAACAAAGATGTATAGCGGCTTCCAGTTAATGGTCTACCAAGTCTTTTCTTTACTCCTCACTAAAATATTGAAAATAGTGAAGGAGAAACTTCAGGAGTACTGTGCAACAATACACTGCTGGTAAAGTGCGAATCGAGAAAATATTGGTTTCGGACACCAGCTACTATTGGCAACTGTGAATTATCTAGTTAAATACATATTTTTTATATAAAACAATAAAAATATCTTTCTAGAAAGCAAATTTATTAAAAAGTTAAGTGATTTGATTGCTTCTATTCCCAAAAAGTGCTCAATATCGAAACATTACATGTAAATGGCTGTTTACATCGTGTTTTTTATGTACTCGCATTCAAATGATGTATTAAGCGCTACAGGACTGATTGGACAGGAAAGTGGGTAAATTTAACTTTAATTCAACGTTATTTAATGCCCTGGGCACAAACAATGTGCTTTAAATGAATTATTTCCATGGAATTAGTCAATAACTAGCATATTCATTTTGTAGATGCTACAATTGGTTTCTGTAAAATTTTAACACAGGCGACTTTTTATTTGTGTAAATGCGACAACTGGTTTACGTCTCTGAGACTGTTGGTTTATGTTGAATATTATGAAATTATTCAAAATTGCATGAAAAGAATAATAGTTTTTGTAGTTTATAGTCATTTCTGACCATTTCTTGAAGCAATGCGAAATGTTCCATTAATTCCTTTTACGGATATTGTGTTTTTGTTTATTTTCTTTTGTTACTATTAAATAGAGTAATATGGTATAAATGAGCAAGATGATGACACCAAATGATTTAAAACTGCACCAAGTATATATATACAAATGTCTCGATCAAGCGATCAAACTTTTAAAGCAGTAAACGAATGCATAATGGTAATATATTTCCTTGCAACTTGTATTTATTCAAAGCACGATGTTAGCATCCTTAGAATTGTTTTGAATGTAGTATACATTTATCCAGTAACATCTCAGGCACGTAGTATGCAAATTGGGATATGTACTTTATTTTCTGAAAATAGTCTTTTGCTTTAGTTTTGATTCATGTTTATAATTTTTTATGTAGACATGCTCCCCCAACTTTTTTGGTAACCGTAAGGTAGCTGAATTTCTGTAACTTGCGGTCTGAGAAAAAACTAGAGGTATTGTGAGCAATGAACTCACTATAAATGATACCCCCCCCCCCGCCTCACATATGGTTATAATGGCAAAGTTCATGTTTTGCTGTGGCTAGGAAACCCAAAATATATGTCGGATCAAAATAGTAAAATGGCACTATGTAAAGATTCTGTGAAAGTTTCATTAAATTTCACTCAGTGGTATAAGAGCAGTTGCGGATAAGAAATGGGTATCCAAAAGCGTAACAGACAGACAGATGGACGGACATACCGATTACTATATGCCCTCCCACTTTTCAAGCGGGTGGTATAAAAATGAGATAGACGACCGAAGTGCTACAGTGCCTTCCGAACAAAAATCCGTAAAAAAAAAAAAGCTGCGATTGGAACTGGATTAATTCCTCCAAATTTTTATCTCAATTGCATAAAAGCTGAAAAAATTTTGATCTCTAGACTTCTTAACGAAGCGTGTTACAATTGAAACGATTTGTCTCTTGTCATCTTAAAAATGACAGTAAAAATGCGAAATTGGATGGTCTCAATTTCATGGAGGGTTATTTACAACAGTTGTTTGTTGTGGAAATAGTAAGTGGAAATTGTAAAGAAATTTATTTGGAACACCCAGTTAGAAAATTTTTTAGAATATGACAGTTTGAAACCGAGAAGCAGCGCACTTTTGTGCACAATAAATACCGGTATACATTTTTTCCAGCTCTTCCGTCTTCGGACAGATACAGTTCTACAGCTAACCGTAAGGTTCGCAAATCCAGCCGTTGTCATCTTCGCTTGCCAAGGGTATGGGCAGCGGAAAGGGCAAAAATTACCATAATGAGAAAACAAACAATTATTTTAATTTCAATGACCATAAAAACTTTACAAATGATATACAATGCATAACCAATAGACCTTTTCGCGGAACAAATATACATTAAAGCAAAATCAACGACCACGTACGTATAACAAACATATATGAATGCAAAACCAACGATCATCTTTGCAGAA